ATCAGTGAAGCTCATGGAACCGTGGTTAATTCGTGCCTTTTTAATACACTTCCATAGGCATGCAGCATTATCACACGCCCAAAATGGCGGCTTTAACGATGACCACTTCACCATTTTCACATTAAGAATATTAAGACATTAAACAGAAGTCAGTCATTGGTATTCGTAGATTTTCAACATTGACCCGTTCAACAATAACTTATTTACAATACGAAACCCTAGAATTTGCAATATCAAATTATATAGGCCGCGTTGATTCTATTGAAGCACGGCGACTGCTGCGTCTATATTTTTGTCAACTCCATAGACATACATAACATACACATCAGCTTCACTTGGCGAGCACACACGCACCGCCGACCAGCAGCTTTCTCCTCAAACATGAAGATTCGTGTGATAGTAACAACGCTTGACCGACGCCTACACTAGAAAACCCCTTTTCATGAAGAGGTTTGGCTTATCACATTATCAACCAAAACGCTGGAGGGCAAATATATATAATGTCACTGCATTATACTAGGAGAAAAAACCTCTGGATTTCATGTTAGCAGTGCTCCGATGACGATTGACGTTCTACACAAAATATGCCATAAATTTGTAATGCTTGCACTTTGTCGGATACGTGCATGTATATTGCACATGATGCATGAGCCAGTAGTATTCATACACAGCTCTCCTTCGCTGGCTACAGCCAGATCCATACATCTTAGGGCGAGTTATTGTAGTGGGATTTTGCAGAGCGAAAAATCGATGGCCGCTATCCAGCCGGCATGCTCTCTGTCGCTATCCCAATGTAGGCTTGTATGAAGACAAGCAAAGTGCAGAGGAGAAAGCATGCTGGCACATGTAGGGGAAAAGATTATAGGAGATATTGGTTTTTATGGTTTTGTTTTCATAAATAAATAAAAAAACGTTAAAACTTGAGTCTGATCTCAACCGACCGTACCGACAGTGTCCTATTTGAGACGATGAGGAAAATAGGCTGTTCTGACAGAATAAAAGAATATCGTCTCCATTTGACGGTTTTATCTAATTTTTTTTCTTTAATGATATATTCTTGGGTTCAAACATTCTACGATTCCGTCATATCATATTTCCATAAAGGTCTTTAGTGTTGATTCAGTTTCATTCCAACGGTGTAAGTTGTCCATGACTGGATGAAGTTAAACCTGTATTTGTATTGGAAGACATCGGCTCCATGACGGGCTATTACACACACCATATCAGCTAACAGGAATATTACATTGCGCGAAGAAGTAAGAAATAACTACGGTAGAAAGACATTACAGGACACACTCACAAATATATATGCTATGTGCAAGTCCCTTATTTCGATGTAATTGTACTAGCTAGGATGTAAAAACGCTGCATATAAAATTTTTGTGAATAGAGTGTCAGTGGGGCTCATTGTTTGCCTTTTCTTCCCTGGAAAGTTACGAGAAGGGAGTTAACCCATTATTTTAATTTTAGATAGAGTCTGAATCCGTTTTTACACTTGAGAACGAGTTGTTTATGACGCATAATTAACGTCTTGGATGTAATTATCAATATTGCTATATTTAACATAGGTGATAGGTTTAGGTGATTTCGTTGTTAGTAACTTAGTCTTGGTGCTACGCGTTTTTCCGACATTTTATTAAAATAAACTCAGTTGTGGCAACGCAACTATAGCAAACGATCTGTGTTTATGGACACAATAAAGCAAATTACCCTACATATCGATTTAGTCTTTTTTTTTACTGCGTCGTTAACTTCTGGGGCACAATCACTAAAACAACTGCTGGAATTTCGGCGATATAACTAACAAACCGTGGCCATAAAATTTGCTTTCATATTCGACCCCCCCCCCAACCACCACCACCACCACTCAATCGACTTGACGTTTTAGAGAAAAAATGATCAGCCAGCACGCTGTCATCATCATCATCATCATCTTCTTCTTCCCCTCCCCCTACTTCCCAGCCATGCCCTTTTTGTTGTCACAAGTAAAAAAAAAAGTAACGCTGCTTTCCTTATGCCTGGTAGCACTCAAAACACAAGAAGCTGGAAGCTGAGGAAGATGTGTCGCACACAATTAAGATGACTTTGAAACGATATGCCACGAAGGACAAACCAATCATCCATAGTCACGTTGTAAACAGAATAACAGGTCTCAATACCCTGATTGATAGCACTATAACTAACTCTAAATGCCATGAGTATCGAGCGTTGACATTTCCTGTTTCATTACATCATGCAGAAATCTTCATAAATGTTGCGTTTACAATCCCATGACAGTTTTCATTTTTTTATAACCTCCACCAGACAGTGTAAGTAAACATCTTTCTGTTCGTCTGTACGGCTATGCACGTCTGGTAAAAAGATTGCAGACCTGCGGCTAGCAATTTCAAAGGTGGTTCTTTTTCTGAAAAAAGTGGGCCTTTTTTACCCCCTTTAGTTGACAGTTGATCCAAGTATATATCTTTATAAAAACGTGGTGGATAGAGTGGATAAACGTGGATAATATGCTCAGTAATCCAGGTATGTCCATTAATCCGTCTCTGAACAGATTCAATGTGATTGGGTATAACTTATTTTTGAAAAAAAAACTCGTTCTATGTTTTGTTAATAGTGTGCTTAAATCGGCATACTTCCGAATTTGGACATTTTAGGTCACGAAATGTCGCTATTATTTGGTGTCGATTGCTGTTCGTACTTGTATATATGTCTTGAATTCATCTTCTCGGTAGATTGGAAATCTTATTTATGACTTGCACGATGATGCCATTAATATTTCAAATAAACCTTGCTTCACTTGCTTTAACACTGATCAGACGACAGCGAGATGACGAGGTGAAAGCCATAGGGGTGATCTTTCGTATGAAAACGAAGACAGTCTCGAGATTTGGTCCGATAGAACTTCTCTTTGAAAAGTTTCTGAAACGCAGGTGTTGGGAAAAAAACATACTCGGTGATCTTTGTGAACTTGCACAGAGAAGAGGTGACAGTGAATGTGATAAGATCAGATGGAACGAAATATAACAAATTGATCATTTAGAGAAAATGTCGAAAACGCCATCAAAATCCGCTTCAGAGTATTTCGTTCCCCGGTGTTGTCGGCTAGACTGTCCTTTGCTGTGACCAGCCTCTTTACTTTACAAATGATTAATTGATAATTACTTAAAGACGAGAGAAGTTGCTGTTTTGGCTTTACATGAAACGAAAGAAATTAAAGTGTTGGTTATTTTTCAATTCTGAGATCCTGATTGCAACCAAATTCATCTTTCTGTGATTACAACTAAAAAAAAAAAATTAATCAAATACCGACCATAGCGCGGCCAATGTCTCTCGTCAAATTAGTATTATTTTATGTACTGTTGAGGGGGATTTCTACTTGTCTGAAAACTGCCATTTTTCTTTACAAATACCTTGCGCTAATGTTTCGTAGGCATGTGACGACCTGTTTGGGTGATTAAACGTCTGCCCCTTCACGAAAATATTACGCTATCAGTGGAAGTGAAAATCAAAGCAATGTATGCAATGGCTCGCTACATGCAAGTGTTAGGATTCTGTGAGACAGCAACGATTGAAAAGAATATCTGTTGTCTTGGATTGCTTAGGTTGAAAAAAGAAATTGTCTTGGAACTTATTTTATGCAAAAGGTGGACTCCTGACGTACTATAGAGGGTTTCTTTTTATTGCATGCGATTTATTGAAGACCTCAAGAAAACTCATTAAAGAATTTGTCCTGCCTCAAATCCCACCAACCGTTTCTTAAACAATAGCCTCGCATCCTTTCCCTATTATAACAAAAATACCATGTTTTATTTCAACAAAAATAGTATATAAAAACATCAACGCCAGAGTGAAGGTCTTATCGCCTACTGACGACGTCTAGACTACGGCAATACGACTGATGTAAATAAAGAAAGGTATATTGACTCTGTGAGTCGAGTTGGTCAATAGTGAAAAAAAAAACTATTTTTGAAGACATATAGTCGTGAACCATTACACGGACGCCGTCTTTGTTTTGTTTTGTTATATGTAGTAGAGTGACATAAATTTGGGATATAAAAATTGGCATATAAACTTGGACATCAAAATTCTAGGTCGCAAATTGTCTCTACTCTCACAGCCTAGAAAAATATTTGGTCTTGATTGTTGTTCGCACATGCACATAGAATCTATACCTTGAATATGTCTTTTGATAAGATTTCCCTCGCTTATCGTTGTGTCCTTAGGCGCAACAATACGAACACATTGCCTTTCTTCAACCGTAAGATAAATATGGCATTAAATTATATAAAAATACTTGCTATCAAATAACCCTAGCTAAGATTTAAAATAGGATTTAGAATAAATATAAAGTACTAGTCTGTGAATTGGAAAGTATTCTGCAAGATAGTCTAATATCTAATTCAAAAGAGAAAGAGAGGGGGGGGGGGGAGAGACTCAGTGCCACTTCTCATCACAGTGGGTAAACAGTAGCCTCGGTAGATTGGGCCCTTCGGAGGAATCAGGCTTTCTTGGCCAAAATTTCGTATTATTCGCCCAAGCTTCTTCTCAAAGGAAAAAGAAACAAATGTGTCGATGCCTGTCGTAAATGTTCACGGTTAGACTGGTCCAGAACAGAGACACTTTTGAT